GTGTGATGCTTACCAGTAGGCCAGCTGTTTTTTCTTCAACGGTGGCCTCAAGGAAATGGATTGCATGGCTCCCTTTCTTGGCCGTTACACTGGGCAGCTGTGAAACAGACACCAACTCACCCATGCCTACTTCAACTTCCTCTTTGTCTGTTAATCCGTACGTCCAACTCTAACACACGCAGTCCGCCGAATGACTTCTCTCTTTTTGGTGCTGCTGGCACCCCGCTTTTTATGCTATTCCAAGATGGCCAAAATTTGCATGTGTGCAAATATCGTCTTGTTTTGGACGAGATAGGCACACATAAATTGTGTCTTCAATAGCGGCCATATTTCTTTTTTGTCATCACTTTGCAAGCAAGGCACATTCGCACTCATTTTGAATTCCGAGGTAAGTCATGTCATTCGTTACAACAAGACTGGTTTTTATACCTTTATTTCTAACAAATCACATATACGTCTTCAACGTAATCCAGAGAAAGGCAAGCAGGAAGAAAACAAAAGGGTTTGGGATTTATTCTGTCTTCTGCTGCTACATAAATAATTTCTAAGCAGGAGATAAGCAAACTATTACAGGTAGAAATACATGTGCTTAACAGAGGAACAAGCGAAATTATCATATGACATAGAACATTATTGAGATACTCACCCATGATCTTTGGGAATGTTAGTAATTCGACATTCAAGAATCATATCATAAATCTTGACTCCCTGTAAAACAGAATAAAATTAATAAGAGATTAAAAACAAGAAATATACTTAAAAATAATGTTTTTGACTCTCAAACTACTCCTGATATATTTTTTGCCACAAAATACTTGTAGATTCACACTTATACTCTCTAAAATTCTATCAGAGTATTGAAAATAAATTATCATGGGTTGATTTTGATAAAGCAAAACAACAAAAAGGATATTTTTCAAAAGAAACAGGTACAAATAAACATTTACACTTAACCAAGGGTTTCTGACCACCTCTGAATAAAATAAAATATAGAAACTTCTGGGTATCCCTGTTCCAAGTATAAATCATATTACACTAAAAGTAGAGGATTAGAGGCATGCACTAATGCCCGAGATAGTCCAATGAAAATAAATCTGCAGGGTGGTCCGAAACTCTTGTCACCCCATACATATAATTTTCTATTTTATATGACTGACAAGCTCCTACAGTTTGGAAGAGAAGGAGGTGTGACAAAACTTTCGGACCACCCTGCAGGTTAAAAATTAACTAAAAATAAATCTAATATAAAAAAAAAAAAAAACACATTGAAAATAATTCTAGGTGGGTCAACATGTGGAGATAGAAACGTGCATAGACATGCCATTCTTAATGAGAACCTTTATTAAAACGTGGGTGACTTAAAAGTAAAATTTATTTGGTTAACTCTTAGTAAATGTTATAAAATAACTTCATCTTAAAATTTCATCACAGACTTCACCAGCTACACTTACTTTTAGATCCATCCCAAGAGGACTATTTTTTTCTCAAGATGGCTGGTTAAGATAATAAACTCCAACATAAGCTAACTGCAGCAAAGTTGGTTCACTTATTGTGCTAGACAATTTTCCTATCCAGAACCTATCTTGCATATCTATAACTCTACCATCGACCCAGGTTTTGAATATTGCTGCCACATATGGTCTTGTGCTCCTGCTATTTATTTAGAAATTCTTGATAAAAATCTAAAGAAGAATCTGCAATATTATTGGTCCTGACTTGGCACCTCACTTTCAGTCACTTTTCCACTACCATAAAGTAGCTTCCTTGGACCTTTTCTATAAATATTTTCATGTTAATTATTTGGATGAGCTCTTCGCGATGTTACAGAGATTTTATAAATTTAAGCGCAGTACTAGATTGGTGTCAAGGTCTCATCAATTTACAGTAAGTTCTATGCTAACAGTTTCTTTTCTCACACTTCTTGCTTGTGGAACTCTTTTGGATCCATGCTTTCCGGCCAACTTTGATCTTCAAAGATTTATATGCAATGTCAATCATTATCTACTGTCTTCCTGATTCATTTTCTATTGTTCTCCTTCATAATGCATTCTCGTTTTTAATTCTTTTACACCCTATGTTTCTTAGTGGTTTACTGCCTTGCTTGGAATAAATTCAATTAAAAAAAAACAAAGATTACTCCTTTAAAATTGCAATATAAAAGTCATAGCACTGTAGTAAATTTAAAAGTGAATGCATCATGAGTTCAGTGGGTTATGTCCCTTAGGATACTATATCTCAGATTATGGATATTACTAAAATAAAATATTTGAAGAAATTGTATTATACATAATATTTTGCTCTTTCATCACTGATTTCATGCATAACTGAATTGTCTTATAATTTGTGATTCGTCTCTCACAGACAGGATGTGACAAGGCTCTCACTGCTCTATCACTACTTCCATGGAAAGTGCTTGGATGAACTGCATTCTTTAGTTCTGTCATTTGTAACCATCACAGCTAGGACCTGCCATGCCATTCACATAGCAAACTCCAGTCAATCTCTCTGTATTCCATTAGTGAAGAGTAAGTTCCCTTTGAAAATCTTCTTCCCATGAACCATTGCTATGTGGAACCGACTCCCAAGAGGATATTTTCCCTCGATCATTACAATCATACCTGTTTAAATCTAGGGTTAATCATTATCTTTTTTCTTCTTTTTAAATAATGTTCATCCAAGACAAGACCCAAGAACCACTCAAGGCAGAGGATTACTATGTGGAGTTATATTAGCATAAGAAAGAACAAGCGTTAGAAGTACAGAGTTGAAGTAGACTTTAGAAGGAACTGGAAACTCAATTCTATACAGGAAACAAGGGATGAACTTCTACTCCTGTTCAAAAGGCTCAGGAGAAGTGTGAACTGGATGATAGGCAAACATATCTACTTCTATCTTGCCTGCATAAAATGTCACTAACTTTATAACCCTCTACCTTGAGTGACCCTTTGGCCGTGTACAAGGTAAATCTCACTGTAATATATATATATATATATATATATATATATATATATATATATATAAGAAATGGACAAAGTCCGACAATTTATCTATTAAAGACATTTTTATGTTTAACGTTCTTTTTTTTTTTTTTTTTTATAGATACAAGTATTTAAGTAAATGCTCTGTTTATAATAAACAGTATTAAATAACATTTAAAAGCCTGAATGTCAGAGAAATTTTCATAGAAAATATTCGTCCTTTGACATTGTAGAACCTGGCATCCTAATGACGGTTCCGTCATTGGATGCAGGTTCAATCCTGTCAAAGGACGAATATTTTCATTGTGAAAAATTTCAAGACATTCTATCAAACGTAAATGTTATTTAATACTGTTTATTATAAACAGAGCATTTACTTAAATACTTGTATCTATATAAAAAAAAAAGAAAAAACGTTAGAATAAAATGTTAGGACATAAAAATGTATTATATATATATATATATATATATATATATATATATATATATATATATATATCTCAATGGTAGACAAGCATTTTGTGGATCTTGAAGCTTCAACTGTCATAGGGTCCTTTGCAATTGTCAACAATAGGACAATATCTAACAAGATCCAAAGAGCCTCACAACCTTTGCTATTACCTTGAAGCTCAAATGTTGGAAAATGGGGTTGTTGGGTAAAAATGGGCCATATATGGAGTTGCTTCACACCAGTAATGAGGTCTGGGTAAACATTATTTTCTTTATCAGTGCTGCTGTTTTACAACAGATCACTAGTGAAGTCTAGGAAAAGTTTCTTGCCAGGAATAAAGAGGTGAAAAATGTTATTTTTGGTGTTAAAATGTGCAAACAAGATGAGTGCAGCCTGAACTGAGAATTCAGATATATTTTTATAGTTATGGCTGGCTCAAACCTAAGGGCTGAGCCATAAAGCTATTCACGAATAAAGAATTTGATGATCCAGTGACCAAACTAAAGGCTATAACTAGATTATGGCAATTACAGGAAACCCATAAATCTAGGGTCTCAGGTACTGCAGGCATCAGAAAAATTCTAACCAATTACAGGGACATTTTGAGGTCATATGAAATCAGTATTAGAGGACATTCTAAGGGCAATGTATTTCACACCATTGGCTTATGATTCTATTGTAAAAATCACTTCATTTTTACTAAGAAATAATTTCAAAGAAAAAGAATGCATCACTTTTTTAAAAAACTCAATCATTAAAAAAAAAGAAAGAAAAAAAAAAAGAGTCCCTCTTTGATGATTAGGGGCTATTAAGATTAAACTTCATTAATTTCAAAGTAGATCTACTACCATCTTAAAGTACAGATTTATTAAGTGCAAGATATTACATAATTCAATGCTATAACCTTTCTCAGTAGTACTACGTCTGTGCCATAATAGTAGTTGCATTTAGTGTATGAAATGTTAATGCAAATGTACCAATGATTATAAGATGAAGGTAGTCTTAGATAGTAATACTTCTGTCCCATAATAGCTGTTACATTTAGTATATGGAATGTGTATGCCAATGTAACAACTATTATGGGACAGAAGTATTACCATCTAAGACTACCCCTGTCCCATAATAGTTGGTACATTTACATAAACATTTCATATACTAAATGTAACCACTATTATGAGACAGAGGTACTATTACACAACAGCAAAAATTTCCTCTGTATCCAAACTTTATAAAGATAGGTGAATTAAAAATAATTATTTATATTTAATTGATTTATATAAATTACAAAGAAATCTATCAATGGTAAATCAATGAACTTCCAAAGTTTTGATAAAAGAAAATTTATTAATTTGCCAAAAGGTTTTTCTGGTGGGAAATAAAAATGCTATAAAAAAAAAAAAAAAAAAACAGAAAAAAAAAAAAAAAAAAACCTATCACAAATAGATACTTACTTTATCATTTGCCCAAGCAATAAAATTTGCCTTCCATTTTATATTGCGAATTGGTCCTTCACCTTTATGTAAAATGTATGTTTTGTATCTGCCAAGAAAGTTTTTCTCACCTAAAACAAGCTGAAAAACAAAAGAAATACAAAAGATATTTTAAACTATATTTTTTTTATTTAAAAATATAATTATATAAACAAAAATTTTCTTGCAAAAAAGAGTTAAAAAATAAATACACAAAACTTTTTTTTTTTTTTTTTAAGTCATTTCACCTCAAGCACAAAGGCATAAAATGTTACTGAGAGTGAAAAAAAGAAAAAAAAACTTTACTGGAGAGAGAGAGAGAGAGAGAGGACAATAAAACAACAGGATTTAAAGAGACGGAAGATGATAGTTGATGTTGCATTTAAAGATTTAGATTATAGTTGACAGAAAAGACAAAAACTGGAAGTTCCACAAGTGTAAGATAAGAAGCTATTAGCATAAAACTAATAGTTACATCTAGCAGTTTCAAATGATGAGACCTAGCTGTCAATCAAGTACTGCACTTACATTCATGTTGAGGTATCAAAAAGGAAAGCTCATCAGAACAATTGCTCTGAAAATATTTATAGAAGAGGCACAGGGAAGCAACATTATTGTAGTGAGAAAATTATTGAAGTCAAGATGCCATGAACAGTATGTCGCAAAATAAGGTCATATATCTAAACAAATACACAATCTTATTGTCAATCTAAAAATGGAGGGGTATATTGACTAAAAGTTAACCAAATAAAAAAAAATTGAAAACAGCAAACTACATTAAAATTCAGGCTGAGAGTTTGTATGCATTTTGCACTAGTGCACCTCAGGAAGACATGAATCCATTAAATATTAATGTAGAGTGAGCTCTTGAGTTTTGGTTGTCAGCCAGTCAAGTACAAGAAAAATGAATTTAAAACTATAGAGATGGCATTCTACTACCTTTCTGAACAAAATTCATGGCAACACATGATTTATAGATATCAAAGAAAAGAAAGCTGTGGAGTGCCAGGATCATGATATCTTAAAGAGAGAGAGAGAGAGAGAGAGATGCATACACAGTAATAACGACAGCTTTACAGAAACACATCAGTGGAGAATGAAAAAGTGAAAAAGTTTTTTTTTTAATGACAACACGTTTTGCCTTCATGTGTCAAGTTGGCATTTTCAGGTCAGAATGAAAGAACAAAACTATGTTTTTTTGTGTTAAAGTTCTTAATGTCTGTTGGAATTGAAATTTGCTGAGTAGATCTGTTATTCTCTCTATTAGCTTGTAAACCACATTGTGCTAATATTGCTTTTCCAATGATTGTTATTATGTATGAGCCTGGTCTTAGTTAGGTTTATAAGATATACTAGGTTAAAAGCCACAATATTGGGTGGCATTTAAGCTAGCTCCTGTGGAAGGCACTTGATTAGCCCATCATCACAATAGATAGGGAGAAGTAGAAGTGATAGGCAACAATAAACTACAGAACTTGAAATTGATTGCTGCATTTAAGTATTGCATTAATATTTAAGTTTACCTTTTAAAAGTTCAACAATAATTCTTCAGCTGCCACTTAATTTAAAGACAATTTGATGTACGTATGTCTTTACATTCTGTACAAACAATTATTCTTATTTCATAGGTGACTTCTGATGGATTTCGCAATTAATTTTGATTATTTCCAAATTTATTTACAAGTTATGAAAATTGTTATTAGACAAAAAAATTTGTCACAAAACATCACATAAAAAAAAAAATCACTAAAAACAATCACAGTAATGAAAAATTGGGAATCCAAAGTTTCACAATCGTGGGTCTGGATCCAGCCTGGAATGTTTTTAATTTGCTCACGGGGCCTGATTCCAAAATGATATATGATATGATATGTTGTATTTTGGCCTCTAGGAGTAAAGTTGAAAAAGTGTGACACACTGACATTCACATTTATTATATAGATATGTATGATTAATGATAAAAAAACATTTACTGCAAACAAATATTTCACAAAGTAATTTCCTTCCTCGTCATACAGTAAAAATATTTATAATAGAGATTGAACATTATACAGTGAAAATTTAGGATCAAATCAGGCTTATCTATTCACCTTTAATCATCTTTATTTATCATTTATGAATCATTTATTCATCTGGATGCACAGCGGAGTATTTGATAGTGTCTTGGATTGTGGAATCGGAGAGCTGAGTTCGAATTCCAGTCGAATCTATTACATTCATTTACATGCGAATACCCTTGGAAAAGGTACGGATTCTCTTCTTCTCTATCCAGCTATGGATAAATAGCAGGACATACTGGGTTCTGTAGCCTTGGATGATAACTGGTCTACCATAGAAAGAAATGGCAACCTACTGCTGGAAAAAATCTGCCTCATCAGTCATGTATCAAAAGATACATGATTGCCTAAACATGTATCATGCATGATACATAACTGACTTAATCATCTTGGGTATTGGTCATTTTATGCAAGTGAGATGCTTTTTTAGGACTTCTATCATCTTCATCAGATTATAATAGCTTACCTTAAGTATTTGTTTAATGACAATCATTTCCATTTTTTCCTATGATTTTCAAAAAGAAACAAAAAAGTTTTTAGAATGCATCTTTGGCTATCCCAATGTGCCTTCAGATTTCAGTGTCATATTTTGCATCTTCTGTTAAAACACTTAGTACTGTAGCTTAAGAGGAGGCACATTACCATTACTCCACTGTGCCTCCTCTTAGGCTACAGTACTAAGTGTTCCTCTTATGGTGGAGTAATGGATAACGGCTCGGATTGAGGAATTGGAGAGCCAAGTTCAAATTCCAGTCGAATCCATTACATTCACTTATGTGCTAATACCCTTGGGAAAGGTATGAATCCTCTTCTTCTCCCTCCAGCTATGGATAAATAGCAGGACTGACCAGGTTCTATAGCCTTGGATGGCAACTGGTCTACTGCAGAAAGAAATGGCAACGTACTGCAGAAAAAAATCTGCCTCGTCAGTTATGTATTGAAAAATACATGATCGCCTAAACGTGTATCACACATGGCACATAACTGACTGACTGACTTTCATGTTCATTTTTTATACAAGTGAGATGTTTTTTTAGGACTTCTATCATTTTCATCAGATTATAATAGCTTACCTTAAGTCTTTGTTTAATGACAATCATTTCCTTTTTTAACATGATTTTCAAAATGAAACAAAAAAAAGAGTTTCAAAATTGCAATTTAAGTAAAAATTTACAGATTTTCAGTGATAAAGTGGCTAGTTATTCCTGATTGCAGAAGCCTGATCAGCCAGAGTTGTGTTTTTTCTAATAACCACAAAGCCAGTCTGGGAGAGAGCTCATTATCTGGTGCGATCAACTGTTTTGAACAAGACCAATACAATCAAAGTCTCGGTCACAATGACTTGTGCTAGAACAACCATCAATGACTTACAATCAGTTCCATCTACCTGATTACACTCACAAGGCTTGGGGTTAACTCGTGGTATGGTTTTCAAGTATTTCCTAATGAGGCCACATGCTAAGATCATCTCCCCAGATCATTATTACCAAGCAGTCACCTCTTTGACAAATCAACCGTAGAGAGATCCTAGCCAGTGTCTTAAGATCAGAATGCTAAGGTTCTAACCACTCAGCCACAAGTTCACATATAAATATAGATCTACAAACACTTTATGTTGTGTATCCATAATAGGTCCGAAAGAAAACTTGAACTCAACAATTTAGTGAAAACATATTATTAACAAAAAGAACAAATACAAAAGTGTTGCACGTCCAACTGACGGCAAAGTACAGTAGTCAACTCATCAACTGTAGACGGCTCTCTTGAGAGGCATAATCTCCCCATATATATAGTAATAGGACAAGTCCATTTAGTCCACAAAGGTAGGTCCCATAACACTTTAGTAGTTTAAAACATAATCAAGAAATATTATCTCAAGTTATTAGATTAAAACAGAAAAAAAAAACTTTTATTTTGCTGTATTGTTCACAATGTAATCTGACAATCAAAATACAAAAGTAAACATCTTATGTGAACAGTACCTCAAGATTTTTTTCATTACCCTGTACATATCTATTATTTGTTGTCTAATTCACAAAACTAACTTGATTATGTTGAGAGTAATTGCAGCAATTCAGGCATAACATATAAAAATTCTGAAGAAAAAAAATAAAGAAACATTATTATACTTTTGCTCCATGTAAAACATAAGATCAGAAATCCCAGGACAGGAAATACTTTCCAAGTTAAACCACTGACAGGATTCTATAAATTATTTGAATGAGTATCCTTATGTTTTTAGGATAGTCTAAATAATGGAATACTGTCTGAGAGAATTTTTGAACAACTTTTCACATTTATTACTGCCTGAGCACTAACTATTATTCACTAACTTTACTAATCCATTTTTTTTTCCTTAGATATCTAGCAACGAAAGAACTTGGATGTGAATTCATACCTTTCCAAAGGAATTAATGAGATGTGAACATAAGTAGCCTCAGCCAAAATTTAGACTTCTCATTTTGCTACTTATTTCTGTGCAGATACACTAATTTGCAGATAAATTAACTTGCACTTGTTTAGATAAGGAGCATACAAGCAAAGAAAGGTTCATGCCTTTCTCTAAGACATTAAAACTAAATTAAGCACCTCAGCAACAATTTCAACTTGTTTTAATAATTCTTTTTCTTCTATTCTTAATCGTTGTGTTACCTTGCACTTTCATAATATATTTCAATAATAGCAAGGAGATAGATTCATACCTTTCCCAAGGACATCAGTACTTAGTAAATACAAGCTAAATTATGCAAAAATGAAAATAATACTGACATCTCATTTTAACAGATATATTTACCAAAATCAAAAATATCTTGATATACAGTGTAACCTGGATATAAGAGACCCGGATATAAGAGAAACCCGGATATAAGAGAGATTTTCTCTGGTCCCAAATTAGAGCCTGTGTTACTGTATATAAACTAGACCAAACCCGGATATAAGAGACTTTTTCTCTGGTACCGACAACACTCTTATATCTGGGTTACACTGTACTAAAGAGTAAATTTCTCAATAAAATCACAATTGGCTTCAACCAAAGGCTCCAGA